TCCAGCTCTGTCTCTTGTCTTCTGGTCATTGCTGCCCACTGCAAACGATGCAGTGTGACTGGTCTCACTGGCTTTGTCTCTACTAGCTTCGTCCCACTCTGTGCTGTCCGTCTGAGTAGCTACTTTGCTGATCCTGGTCCATTCTTGTCACTCCCAAAGAGATTTTCAGCATTTTTATCTCTGGAACTTCCGCAGCACTGTCCAACACATTTTCTTCCTCCCTCCCAGTACTCTTTTATTTATCTCTCTTCCACACTTCCCAAGCTTCTGAGCATTTGATCCCAATGTACTTCGATGACCCCAAAAATAACCATTGTGCCATGGTGTTTTTTCTGTCCCAGACGCGCTCGGGACAAGAAAGGACGGTGTTGGAAATAGACGCCCCCCAGTCCAACACGTTGCCCATCGTCGATGTGGCGGTGAGCGACTTTGGCAACACAGGCCAAAAGTTCGGCTTCCAGGTCGGGCCTGTCTGCTTCGGCGGTTAAACCTTCGGGACGGCATGGGACGGAACTGAAAAAAAGAGCAAAACTGACAGACTCTTTTAACGTGCAGGGAAAAGCAAAACAAACTACTTCCAAGACTCCGAGCAGGTGCCTCACCATATTTATATCTTATTGCTTACTAATTAGGCAGCACGGTGGACTAGTGGTTAGCACGTCTGCCTCGCAGCTCTGAAGGTTTGGGGTTCGAATCTGAGCTCCTGCCTTCCTGTGTGGAGTGGGTTTTATCCGGTTTCGTCCCACATTCCAAAAATGTGCATGGTAGTAGCTTCATTGAAGACACAAAATTATCTATGAGTGGCAATGGTTATTTGTCTCTGAGTGTCCTACGATTCCAATCCAGGGCGTACGCTGCCTCTCGCCCAAAGCCAGCTGGGATAGGCTCCAGATCACTCACCACCACACAATGAGGACAAACACAAGCGAAAAATGGATGATGCCTGATTGTCGCCTACACATGCTGCTGCTTTGCCACTACACAAAAGTGCAAAAATACTTGAATGGTCGCAATTTGCTCAAATTTACCCACCAAAAACCTCATTGCTGTTGATTATTAGCATTAGCTTTAGCCACGTTGTTATGCTTATTTGTGTGGTTGTGATGTCGTCATGGTGCTGTTGTCTACAAAGGGAAACGGAGGAAGTGCATTTTTTTTCTTTTTTTTTTTTAATGAGAAGTTTGACATTGTTTGTACTGGGTAGTGACTTAATAATAATAATAAAAAAAGGTACATAACGTACATTTGAATATTAAATATCCTCCCTCATTTGTCCGCAACCACAAAAAATAGCACCTTCTCAAAAACTGCTGTCAAAAAATAGCTCGAGGATATTTATATTTACTTTCCCCCCTGGAGGAGGCCAGATTTTGGAATGATAGTTTGGGGAGTAGTAACCCTATAAATACCATGATGTTTCCAGAAAAAGAGTAAATTGTGCTGCATACTGGAAATGGTAAATTGTTGAATATTTTCCCATTTTGCAGGCTAATATAAAAGCAGCTAAAATTAAATGATATTTTGCTCATTTTTAGCGGTTAAAAAATGACAAATGGCAATTTTAAGATAAAGAACAAAATAAAAAAATTACATTAAAAATAATTTCAAGGAGTATTTGCTTATTTGTATTATTACATTCTGAGATCAAACAATGATCGATGGCAACATTGATTTGTATGTATTCGGTTTTCATCTTTTCCTAGTGTCAGAAAACTGCACGCTTTGAATGGGCGGAAAGTAGAGAGAGCACGACTGGACAAGCATTGTTATGAATGAGTACACATTGAAATATTTTTTATTGGGCCCTCATATGGCTTAAGCCTTGGCAATAGCATTGATTTGTAAGCATCCCTATTTTTTGCAGTTTCAAAAAAACAGGAAAATATGTGACATGTTGCTGAATGCTTTGAATTGGAGAAACATAGCGCCCTCTGGTGCACAAAGCTAAAAACTAATCTGAACAACTTCAAATTGTTGATTATTTTCGTTTATCCCTCAGATGGCTTCATGATTGCTGGCAACATTGATCTTCATAATGTCAGTAAAGACAGTAAAAAGTGTACCCCGTTGCTGCATTCTTTAAATGGGATTTAAGTAGTGCCCTCTGGTGGACAAATGGAAAAATAGTCATTCAAATTGTTATTATTATTATTGTTATTGTTATTCATTGGTAGGAACCTTGATTTTTGTTATACTTTTTCCATAGCAGCATACAAAACTGTCAAAAGGCGTGAGATTCTTTGAATGGGCAAGAGTAGCACCATCTGGTGGACGAATACCTTTGAAAGTAAATCTTTTGATTTTGGATCTGGATCGTATGCAACAATTTTCTCTCGATTTTTTTAACGGTCAGATGAAACACAACTCAAAATATCGCTGCATGCTTTGAATGGGGGGAACAGTGCCATCTAGAGGACAGAAAAAATGTATAAATTGTGCCCTGAGATGTCTCAAAGATTGGAAGAGACATTTTCAGTGTTCTTTTGTTCTTTGGCGATGTCTGAAAACTAAAAAAAAAAAGGAAAAAAATCGTGCAGGCTTTAAATGGATTAAAAGTAGTGCCATCTGGTGGACAAAAAAATAAATGCTTGAAAGGCAAGCAAATTATCCCAAGTGTTTTTAGTTCGTTTTTTTTTTTGTGTGTGTAGCTTTACTTTGTTTTTAAACGCTAATTTAAACAACACAGTGCTGTGCTAAAATATTTTGAAAACAAATATCAGCTGGCAGATTCCAATTACATTCATTCGGCACATCCAAAATGGCCCTTAAGTGTTTTTGTTTTTTTTAAACATTTTGCACTGTCCCAGCTGACTTCAATTTTACCTCACACACACACACACACACACACACACACACACACACACACACACACACACAGCCTGTATATATGCTTTGCCCCAGAGGGATGCCGTAGGGGAGGGTTTTTTTTTTTTTTTTTGGTTTTGTTTTGTTTTTTGGAGAAGTTGAGCAAATGTTTGAATGGAGTTTCATTTCAACAGTGAATCCTCATGACGTTTACATAACATCAGCCCTGCTTACTGCACAGACTCTCATCCCGCTGTATTTGGAGCAAGACAATACTTCCATCCAAACCTGATTTGCATCACTTCATAGAAACACAGTCTTTCATTTATTTTCCCTTGTCATTTACATGTGTGCATTTTTTAAATAGAAAGGAAGGCAAATGTGGAAAAATTAAAACATGTCAAACAAATAATTGTTGCCAAAAGTGCTTGTATATGCTTTTATTCAGGCAGGTTCGGGTTCAACATGAAACCTGAAGATAGCGTTGGGGAAAAGAGGGTCATGACCAGGAATGTAGTTGCTTGTTCTGCTAACCTACGACTGTTATTCCCCACCACTGCGCTTTGTGTTCAAGGGCTCTATTTTAATGACCCGGCAAATATCCGGAGAAGCCCTAAATCTGGACGGACAGGTGTCAGACCAATGTTGGCATCTTTGCAGTTGCGCGCAAGCCGGCACGTTGAAAACAATCAAACAAACAAACAAACAAAGAAAAACAGGCAGTGTGCGGTGTTGTGGGCGTGAACATGGCCGACTCCATTCAAAGCCAATCTCAGCGGCTCCTCTTATTTCCTTTGAAAGTAGCACACTCACATCTCGCATGGAAAACGAACAGTAATCTGTGCGTACAACATAAGTAGGTGCTCTCAGTGCATGAGCTAGTGATAAGCGCTGGCGACTTAGATACGTTGGCGGATGTCGTCCCGTGCCATAGCTGCATGCCAACCAATGGGATGTTTTAAAAACACAATTATTCAGCTTTGAGGCCTGCTGTTGTGACATTTATGAGGGCTCAGAATCTCTCCATCTGGGCTCCGATCAACTTCACCAAACCACAGAATAATTCACACAACAACAGAAGGGAAGAGTAGAACAACGAAATAGAAACTTTTTGACGAGGTCGCAGTAGTGACGACCGCAACACTTTATTATTAATCATTTTCCCAATTTGACAAATTTACTTGCAGTAACCAAAAGATGGTCGTTCGTTCTCCTCCGTCACTTCCTGTCGTGCAAAGAGCACGCCATCTCTGACGAGTCTCCATCAAGATAGGTGGGTTGTACTTTATTTCCACCTGCAGGATTTCGGGTAAGGCATCTAGACGATTTGCATTCACCGCAGCCTGTTCATTCATCATTCATGACGTCTTAAGCACATCTGCAGCCCATCTAGCCGGTGACGCACTTGAGTGAACACAAGAAGTCTTTCTCGACTGTTCGGAGCCTATTTTCAGCCATACATTATAAATTGTTTGTCAAAGGTGACGCTTTAAATGGCACCTTATAGTGGAAGGAGCAGGCAATTTGAGGCTTATGGAGTTTTATTGCTTTTTTTTTTGTTGTTGTTGTTGTTTTGTACCTTCTTAAAGGGGAAGTCATGTCCAAAAAGAAAAGCTGTGCCCTTATTAGTCTAAACACGGTATTCTGAATACTATTGTGCTGGTGGTGGATAAATAATTCATTGGAAATCTGAAAACAGGTGAACCAGCCCCTTGAAAAGCTAACACCAAGAACTGTTTTCTGTCAGAAATTCGACACAAATCCGATTTGCGATTATATCGTAGAGAGCGACGCGCCCAAATCCCACATCATTTCGGAACACCAACCAAGGTGAGCAGAGCTCAGAAAGTTTATCAGTGGTCTGACGCCGCCCCCCCAAAAAAGGTGTTTTTCAAGTCAGGGTTCTCACACCATCATATGACAATAGCAAAGAGCAGCTTTCTACATCTTCATCAAATTGGCGCTTATTTCCACAACTGTAACATTGAGTTTTGTTTGTTCTAACTGCATTTTACAGCCTATTTTACGTTTCCCCTCCTCCAACACACCTGATTCGAATGATCAGGATCAATATTTTGCAAGGCTTCTGATGATCCTGATTATTTGAATCAGGTGTGTTGGAGAGGGGGACATCTCAAATAGGCAAGATGGGGGCTCTCGAGGACCGGACTACGAAATATACATGTAAGTTGAGGGGTTCGTAGGTTTTTAGTGGATAGCTGTACTTTAAGAAAGGTCAAAAGGAGAGATGGAATCCTTTGAACGCAGCTTTGATTCTTTCAACGTCTGCTCCGCAACTCCCGAACGAACTAGAACACACATTCTAACGGCTTCTCAAACACTTCCTGGTTTCCTTCAGCCAATCAGACAATATCAACATAAACTTCTTTAAGCAATTATTGTACGGAATAAAACCTAGGTAACTGTTACACAAAAGAATATAATGCTCAGATATTAAAAGAAAATAATCATTTTACATAAGCTCACATATATTTCATCGAGAGAGTTCAACTGTCACTGGCGCAACTATCGTTTTCAATTGGCTGCTCTGTCAACTAAAATCTGTAATATTTGTTTGGGTTCATAATTTTATGAATGCACATTTGTCTCATTATAAACGTTAATATTTGTGATTCTCTTTTAAATCTTTTCTCATTACTATGTGCAATATTTCCTGCAAGATCACTTCCGGTTTAGGCTGACGTATGCCGAATGGCGCGAAGGAAACAGAGAGAGAGAGAGAGAGAGAGAGAGAGAGAGAGATCTGCATTTTCAATTTCTTTACAGTCGGTTTACAAGGTACAGACGGTATGTTATCGGTGTTCACTCATTTGATGTTGTGTCAAACAGATTATTGTAATGTTGATTGTTCATGTTTGGAATGTCTTTTTAGTTTTCGCGGTGTTTCATCATGAAAGCGAAATAAACGATTATGGACATCAGTACGAGGCATTGTTCTTGACCATAGTAGATACAGCGACGCTAATTAACATGTCTGGCATTTCTTTGCTGAACTTAACCTTCTGTCTTTCATTTATCTTCGAGTTTTGTTGAATTTGCTTATGTTTCGGCAAAACAGCTTTTCGCTATTAGCGGGCCGGCCCAGTCCGTGGATGTACACGGTGGTCAATGGTCATTAATGGCTTCGTGGTTCTAAACTTCCACAAATGATTCCCAAATTCTTTAGTTGATGACTTGGGTGGATGACACTCAGAAAAAAAAAAATCTTCCATAATTTGTATGTACGACCACTGTTACTGTCGTAGAGTTGAACTGAGGACATCCTGATCAACAATCGAGCGGAGTCCAGCGCTTGGCTAACACACCCAGATCCCTTCAGTGGAAGTCCCACACCAATCATACAAATGAGATGGCAGGAGACACATTTATGACCACAAGGTGGGACTGTTGCACTTGGAAAAAAAAAAGCACCACAATGTAAGCAGCATCACGCCACAGAGAGCAGCGAGGATGCTGATCAGTTCCCAGCATCTCTCTCTCTCTCTCTCTCTCTCTCTCTCTCTCTCTCTCTCTCTCTCTTGCTCTCTTTTCTCTTTCTCACTCACCCAGGCAATCAATCAATACGTGGTCAGGAAGCAGAGCGACGAGGCGGACTGCAGTGGACAGGAAGGAGGACAAGGACAAAAGAGAGGGAAAGGAAAAAGAGGACACACGGTTTTGATTGTGTGCGTGTGCTTTTTTTGACGTCATCTCAGGTTGGAGGAGGAGGGATGCAAGAGAGCGAAGGCGAACGCGAGAAAGAGCTCCTCACAACATCTTGGAAGCATCCTCACATGGCCATGACAGGATTTTTAATCACCGGGGAGACTTGATGTTGGGAAGCAACCAGCGCACGTTTTCGTTCTTTTTTTTTTTGAGGTGGGGGGGGATGTCAACAGTTTAATTAAGGAGCTAATACGTGCGTGAAGATGAGTGTGCCTATGCTGAAGATCGGCGCCATGCTGAGCACCATGGCCATGGTCACCAACTGGATGTCCCAGACGCTGCCCTCGCTGGTGGGACTTAACGGCACCACCGTTGGCGTCTCCCCCGATGGCACACACGAACGCATCGTCAGCGTATGTACCCTTCACATTATCACGTACACGCACACACTTTGAGGGTTTTGTAATGTGATGTCAGCTGAAGTTGTCACCTGAGGAATTGAGTCTCAAAAAGTCCCCGGAAGATTCAAGCAAAGTTCTCTTTCTCACTCACCCAGGCAATCAATCAATACGTGGTCAGGAAGCAGAGCGACGAGGCGGACTGCAGTGGACAGGAAGGAGGACAAGGACAAAAGAGAGGGAAAGGAAAAAGAGGACACACGGTTTTGATTGTGTGCGTGTGCTTTTTTTGACGTCATCTCAGGTTGGAGGAGGAGGGATGCAAGAGAGCGAAGGCGAACGCGAGAAAGAGCTCCTCACAACATCTTGGAAGCATCCTCACATGGCCATGACAGGATTTTTAATCACCGGGGAGACTTGATGTTGGGAAGCAACCAGCGCACGTTTTCGTTCTTTTTTTTTTTGAGGTGGGGGGGGATGTCAACAGTTTAATTAAGGAGCTAATACGTGCGTGAAGATGAGTGTGCCTATGCTGAAGATCGGCGCCATGCTGAGCACCATGGCCATGGTCACCAACTGGATGTCCCAGACGCTGCCCTCGCTGGTGGGACTTAACGGCACCACCGTTGGCGTCTCCCCCGATGGCACACACGAACGCATCGTCAGCGTATGTACCCTTCACATTATCACGTACACGCACACACTTTGAGGGTTTTGTAATGTGATGTCAGCTGAAGTTGTCACCTGAGGAATTGAGTCTCAAAAAGTCCCCGGAAGATTCAAGCAAAGTGGCAGGTCGAAACATTAGGTACACCCTCTAAATCAGACCCATTGTGAGAGTTGAAGCAAAAACTCGTCTTGGCGCACCGAAGCTCAGTCTTGACGCCACATTTTGAAGGTCTTGGAATTTTGACAATTATGATTATTATTGGGCTAATACTCATTCCGATTATTGGCAGGATGAAAATATATGACTAAAATGACTTGTTTCATAGTCTGAAAATGCTCACAACAATAATAATAGGAATTAGAGGCAGATCCTTTGACTTTTTAGCAATGCTTTAGTGTTTGTTTGACTTTCTAACAGAAATAGGCAAAAATGTTCATCTTATGTTTTAATGACTTAATGTGTTGTTGTCTTTTTTAATCTCAAATCGGCTGATGAAAATCGTCCGTCCGATGAATCAGTCAGACCATCGTCTTGTATCCGTCTCGGACAGGCTAGTCGACCGGTCGAGACCACTGCCAATCTGTTACTTCATTATTCAGATCATTTGGATGAAGCGCTTGGTCAAACGACAAACTCCTTCAATTCATTGTGTCGCAAGTTTTCTTAGGCATTGATATGTTGCACGCAGCGCAAACAAAGCATTCGGGCAGTGCGTTTGTGGAATAAGAATTAAATAAGCAGTAAAATCTTACCTGTTTTCATCCATCACAGACGGGGGCCATTTTGTCTTTTGCTGTCGACTGAAAATGACATCACAGTGCCTCGGGGCATATTTGGCGAACGTCACGTGACGGAAAATGCCACGTCACCTCCTAAGTCATCTTTTTTATTTTATTATTCTTATTCTTTTGTTTGTTTGTTTTACAGATCCATTATTTTGGCTAGTCCACGTGTGTGTGTGTGTGTGTGTGTGTGTGTGTGTGTGTGTGTGTGTGTGTGTGTGTGTGTGTGTGCGCGCTAATTATACAAATTATTGACCAATGAAAGTCACAACTTTGGAGGTACTAGGACTCCGCCCAATCCTTGGAAAAATAACCACCGTTTTGAAAGGCAACACTGGTGATTTATTTTTTATTTTTTTCAATGGAGGTTGAATGCATTTCAACACGCGCGCGCGCGCGCACACATGCATACACCTCTTTGTTTGTGCGACCAGGGGTGATATTTTCTCTTTGGGAAGGCTGGCTCTCCGTGGGGCTTCTGGCCATTTGTTACCGTGGCAACAGCAAACCTTGGAAAGCCCTGGAGTTGATGTCAACGCGTGCACGCGGACACAATGGCTCGCGCACAAACGGATGCCGATGTCAGAGGTTCAGCGAGGCTGCTTGGAGACGCGTGGCATTGAGATGGCAACCAGTGGTTGTGTTCTTCTCTTGGCATCACGAACGGTGAACACGCTACCGAGCCAGTCATTGCTTCCCGCATGTAATGATTTGACACCTCGGCCGGCCAATGACTGCGTCCCATTTCCGTTCCCAGGTGCAAGCTCAATGCAAACTCTGCTGCGGTCAAATTGGGGGCGCGCGGGTTTTTTCCAAAAGTGTCCGAATGTGCACGCGGGTTCTTCAGAGGTTGATGAAGCAGTCAAAGGCAAGATGGGGGATCGCCGTTGACGTTTTCAGCGCGTGTGATTGTGTGCGCAGGGTTTGTATCCGGGCTCGGAGGAGGCTTGGCAGGTGTACAGCACCGCGTCGGACCCGGACGGCCGCTGCGTGTGCGCCGTGGTGGCTCCTGCCCGCAACCTCTGCAAGCGGGACCATCGCGGTCGTCAACTCAGCCTGCTGACTCAACAGGTGGGCGCGCGGGTGCGCATGCCGGGCCGCACACAAAAAATGAACAACTTTGGGAATGTAAACCAACAAACGCAAGAAGGAGAGCAGCGTTTGTCCCAAGCTGGGGAGACCAGTGGAAAACACACACACACAAACCAATGCACTCAAGCAACATGAGTTTGTAATGTCATAGTTGGAGATTGCGAATGTGTTTCTGCGAGAAATGTGCACTCAATAATTCATCGCAGCTGTCATAAGTGAGAGTCGGCAGGCAGCCCTCTCGACAGGCTCGCATACATTTAAAAATAAATAAATAAAATACCGGACACACCCTCACTTCAGCACACGTGCAAGAATTACGTCACAAACCCGATATAGCCGAACCCAATCTGCTTTTTCCTCACCCAACGTATCCATTTGGGCCAAGAGGAAAGACCCTCCCGTTCCTTGACTTAAGTTGAGAGTCGTCAATGAACCTCGATGATAAACACTTACATAGGGGCCATGGTTTCATCATCAAAGATCATTTTGACTTTTCTGTGATCGTACGCACGTGGTGAAGACTTGAAATGATGTTTGACGTTCACATAGATTATCTGAATCTTGGAAAATCCAGCAGGCTTTTTTTTTTTGTGGAAATATAAAAGACACTAAGTCGGAACCTTCCATGTCTTCGTTACCAAGATGTGCGCATCAGTGAGGGATTTTATTTTTCCGACCGTTGCCAGTATGAATTTGCACTCTTGATTACTCATCAATACCGTGTGCCGATATAACTTTTGATCATCAAATTTCCACCACATTCTTTCTTCTGACGCACGTGACGATTGGCTAATGCGTTCAACTGCCACCGCGGTGCGCCACCTATTGGCAAAAAGGACTTTTTTTTTTTTGCCTTGCCTTAAGTATCAGTGGCCGGTATCGGCAGCCTTCACGAGTACCCATTGTCTTCACATTAAGCCGATATCGGCACGGTACTGGTACTTGCCCATCCCTGATGTTTGGTTTGGAAAAAGTGCACGTTGGGATGTGTCAAAGACTCTTCCCGGTTTTTGATGTTGAGAACCTAACATGTTGAGGGTCAAAGCAAAATTTGCTGTACGCTTGTTCCCAATAACCCACTGCAATGCATTTTGGTGACTAACATGACATTCAAGGGTATTTGACAAACAAAGCAGTTTTCATTTTGTTCCTTCAGCGAAGCTCAACGGCACTTTAAATGGTCTTTCATGTTTCCAAAAAAATAGATGCCGAATTTGTCAAGGAGACTTTTTAAGTTTTGCCCTTGAGGTTTCGTTTGCTTCGTCCCGCTTGAGGTTCGAAAACGGACAGATGGACGGTGAACTGTACTGTCGTTGTTGTTGTTGCGCTTCAGGTACAGAACGTGAGTCAGTCCGTGGAGGGGGTCCACCTGCGGACCTCCAGGGACCTGCGACACTTTCGCGAGTCGGAGCCGCTGCTGCGGGGCGTGGACGGACGCCTGCACTCGTACGCCAGCAGTCCTCGCACGCTCACGTCCAAGGGTCTGCAGGTACGGGCGCGCGCGTGCACACGCGACCGCCAGCTCGGCCGTGAACACATTGATTTCATGCGGGGGGGCTCAAGTAGCGTGTGGATGCTGTCGCCGTGCCGACACCTGCATCGCTGCACTAAGTAAAAGATTGAGAGCGCTGCATGGCAGAAAGAAAAACGATACCAATCCGAAGGGGAGGAAGGGGAAATTGTATTATTGATGTTGGCTTACAAAACCGAAGCAGAGGGGAGGATAGGCGGGGGGTTTGGGTTGGGGTTTTTTTGCACATCAGCTGGCTCACCGAAGGGCCTAATTTGTCTTGGATCTTTTCTGAAAACATTCATTTCAGTATCTGCGATGTTTGACGACAAGATGGACGCTCGGTTTGTTGAAGACGAAAATGCATCGATGAGCTTTGTTAAAAGTGTGTCTACAAGGTTTTGTAACCTTAAGGTCATTAGAGACTGTGTCTTTGATGCTTTACGGAAAGATGTACATCATCTTAGTTGAAGACGAAACCGATTTTGACCTTTTCTGAAAATAGTTACGTGAATTTTCCCGACGAAACTGTCTCATGTTGACGTAAGCTTCATTGTGTTGGGTTTGTGAAAGACGCTAAATTGTTGTTTTGGGGTTTTTTTGCATTCATTGAAGACATTAAAACGTCAGCCATGTTTTTTAACGAAAACGGGTTTTGTGCACATCAGAGACGATTTAGTTGTCATCATTCCGAACATCCATCTTGTCATCAACATCAAGGCAGTTTTGATTTTTCAGCCACCTTCTTCACTTTGTCGAAGGCTCCATTTTGTGTGATTTTGCCCGAAAGCCCAACTTTGATGCAGCTTGGCTCTGTCAAACGTTTGTTGGGCTTTCCTTTGTCTTGGTTAGCTTTCACTCATCAGTTTTGCAGCTCACTCTTCCGGATGGTTCCCTGCTCAGATGCGTGAGCTGCTTTCTGTGAGCCTGCAGAGTTAAAACGCTTTTTTTAGGACACGAGGCATCATCTCTTCCCCTTTTTTTTTTTTTTTCTTTCTTCCCACGTCACCTGTGAGGGCCCAAAAAGCAGAGAGGACGATAAAAGCGCTCCCTCTGCTTTGGTTTCACAAGTCAATGTTGGTATGGAAATTTCACATTTATCCTCATTTTCAACTTTGACAAGCACAAAACAGAAGTTGGGTTCGATGGAGGCCATTGTTCCCCACTTCTCAGGCGTTGCGAGGAAACAACCGTCATTTGGCATCCGAATCAAGAAACGTCTGCACCTATTGACTAAGGTTGGGGGGCGTGGGGGGTTGATGCTCGCTATTGGTGTGACATCTTGTGGGCTTCCTGTGGAAAGGAAAAAAAAAAAACAGAACGAAAGCAAAAGCAGCACTCGATTTGACTTGCTAATGCCTCCTCCTCCTCTTCCTCATCTTCATCTGACTGCGCCTGCGGCCAACCTTTTCTAATTCCTTCCTTTCAATCCGGAACCCCCGCAGAGAGGAAACCCACACCCCAACTCCGCCCGCCCCCCTACTGTGTTGCTAAAAATAGCTTGTGGTTATTGATTATTTAAGTTAGTGAATAGAAATACAGGATGCAGCGTCTCCGCTTCCCGGTGTCATGATGAGCTTCTTTTCCAATGTCTTTAAAACCAAGTGAGCGCGTCTCGTGTCTTCGATGAACCAACAACAACAACAAATGATTTTTTATTTTCAAAAAGGTCCTCGGTTTTGCAGCCATCAAAAAATTTAGAACCTTTGACGAACCTACCGCACGTTGTTGTCAATATCGGAGACAAAGTTGCGTTTTTGGCAAACCTAATGTGGGGATTCTTGTGGACATCCAAGATGATTTTGTCTTCCCCAAAAGCCCGAGCACAGGCGTTCCCATAAATGTCCAAGGCAATTTTGTCAAAGACAATTTTGCGTAATCTGCGACCATCTTTTTGGAAACGGCAAAGACAATCAATTCTGCTCAGTGATGCGAATGTGTTTTTGGAAATCTCAAAAACAATTCAGGGTCTCTGATAGCCGTGGGTAGCCTCGAGGTGAACATCAAAGAAAATTTTGCATTTTTGCCAAACCCGTTTCTTAGCAATAAAGAGATCCCCCCCCCCCCAAAAAAAAAATAAATTAATAGATTTTTTGTTTGTTTGTTTTTGGGGTATATATTTTTTCAGATTACAAGAACAAAGTCCTATTTTGGGCAAGTCATTTGAAGATTTTTTTTTTTTAAACATTAGCAGTTCGACCCAGGCTTTCCCTCGACTTTTGGTGTTTGTACTTGAAGTCAGTGCAGTGCTGGGAACAGCTCTGCGGCTGTGTAGCGTCTTAGAAAAGAGGCGTGTGAAAAAATAGAAGCGCTTTTCTCCCACGGACATAATCTGGCTGCCACTGAAGTGCCACTTCAAACCACACAGCGTCGGAAAATAAACCTTTTTTATTTTATTTTTTTTGCCCATCGAGTGTGAGAAGATTATCCCCTCACGTTGGTTCGTTCGAGAAACAACCAGCCGAGGGGCTTCGCTCTATTTGTCCTGGATTTTTTTTTTTTTTTTGGGCAAGTTTTTCAAAGATTCTTGATGGGTGACATCGATTCCAAATTCCAAAACAAGCTGCCCCTCGAAACTAACCCTCTGAGCACCCTACGCTGAAGTTTAAACCGAGACCTAACCCCCAAACCTCGAAACAACTTCTGACAAAAAACGAGATTGGACACGGCGTCCACAAGTGAAATGTGAGCATTACAAACATGGTGAAGCTGCACTTAGGTGCTATGCTGCGCGCAAATAAAAGAAGCTGCAACAGAAGCGAAGTCATGCTAACCGTCTGCTTGTCGCCGCCGCTCAGGAGCTGAAGGGTCAGGTGACCCAGCTTCAGCCCCTTCTGTCCACGGCAGATCAGTACCGGTCCGACGTGCGGACGCTGGCTGCCCTGCGAGGCGAATTGCTCAACCTGTCGGCGGTCCTGACGGCCATGCAGGAGGAGGTGGGAGCATACGACTACGAGGAGCTTCAGAGGCGAGTCCTGCTGCTGGAGACCCGACTGCACAGCTGCATGAACAAGCTAGGTCCGCTACAAATTTACCGGTACTCTTTACGTATCATCGTCAAAACCTTTCTTTCTGACACAGTTTGTCAAATTGCGCCCGCTATTGTGGAGGGGGGCTTACTCAATGTCAGATTTTCTTTTGCTATATATCGGTGGGTGGTATCGGCAGCCTCCACGAGTACCCGTTCCCTAAAAATAAGGCCAGTAATGTCCCGATACCGGAACCTGCTATCGGTACTCACCCATCCCTAATTTATAGCTGAAGATATTAAGAGTAGTATCGAATTATTTTTCCGTTATTAGCAAAACGTTTTTTTATCGAATTTTTGCATCACTAACCAGAACATCCCTCCCAAACGTCAAATTTTATTGAGTTACTTTATTTGACAGTTTTTCTGTGTTGCCTTCAAACCAAAGCGAGTTCTCTCTTTTTGCATGTGCTCGGCGGGCAGGTTGCGGTCGCCTGACAGCCGTCAACGGTCCCATCACCGTGCGGGCGTCGGGGTCCCGCTTCGGCTCCTGGATGACTGACGCCATGATTCCCAGCTCTGACAGCAGGGTGACTCTTCCGCTCTACCCCGTGTGTGTGTGTGTGTGTGTGTGTGTGTGTGTGTGTGTGTGCGCGTGCGTGCGTTGGTCTGTATTGGGTGGGTCACAAGTGAACCCGGCGTTGAAATCTTGCATTGTTGTGCCTGCGGTTGAGGTGTGGGCCATGGACGGCTTCTACCGCGGCCGGCGCGTGTTGGAGTACCGCACGATGGCCGACTTCACCAAGGGCCAGAACTTTGTGCAGCACCTGCTGCCGCACGCCTGGGCCGGCACGGGCCACGTGGTCTACAACGGCTCGCTCTACTACAACAAGCACCAGAGCAACATCCTGGTAGGCCAAAAACACAAACGTTCACATGCACACAATTTGGGGTGTGGGGGCACATATTTAATCATTTTCATTCTAGTTGATATATTGTGTCAATTTTTAAAATGTTTGCCAATTATTGATGAACTGGAAACTAATTATTTCGTTACGGTTTTTGAAGAAGGTCCCCCCCAAGAGTAATATAATGCAAACTCTTTGGTGTGTGTGTGTGTGTGTGTGTGTGTGTGTGTGTGTGTGTGTGTGTGTGTGTGCGTGTGTGTGTGTGTGTGTGCATATGTGCGCGCGTGTTGTAGGTGCAATACCACTTCCGCTCTCGCAGCGTGCTGCTGCAGCGTAGCCTTAGCGGCGCGGGCTACAACAACACCTTCCCGTACAGCTGGGGGGGGTCCTCCGACATTGACCTCATGGCCGACGAGACGGGCCTGTGGGCCGTTTATACATCCATACTCAACGCTGGAAACATCGTAGTAATGACAAAACTAACAATCGCACTTGGAGCCGTTAGCATTGATTATGACAAATTGGTGTAATTGGCTAACGTTGGCATTCAACGGAGATGTTCGCTCAACAATGATCTCCTCTGCGCTCAGGTGAGCCGCCTGTGTCCCCGCTCGCTGGACATACTACGTAGCTGGTCCACGGGCTTCCCGAAACGCAGCGCGGGCGAGGCCTTCATGATCTGCGGCGTCCTCTACGTTACCAACTCGCACCTGGCCGGAGCCAAGGTCCACTTTGCCTACAACACCAATACGTCCACGTACGAGTACACGGACGTGCCATTCCACAATCTCTACTCACACATCAGCATGATGGACTACAACCCCAGAGAGAGGGCGCTCTACACCTGGAACAATGGTCACCAGGTGCTCTACAACGTCACGCTCTTTCACGTCATACGCACCGACGGGTAGACCACGTTAGACGAGACTGGAGATGAGTCACGCACACGGTCGGCTTTGTGGTGGATGTGTCGAGTCCGCATGGTTTCTTCCTTCAATAAACATCAATAAACTTCATGCGTCGCTTCTTCCACGTTAGCATTAACGAGCATGAGGAACTGACCGTCTCACTTAAGTTAGCGTTAGCTGACTTACATAAGCATTCGTTGGAGTCGTTTGTTAAGACAATGTTGTAACTGGTGAATCTTCACCGGAGTTGCCAGGTAAGCAAATTGACATAGCTTGCTCACATTAGCATTTGTCACAATTGTTGACGTTCACGTTTGCAAGATAGCGGAACTAGAACTACCTGCTTCCGTATCTAAGAATCACGGGAAATGTAGTCCAACCAGCCGAACGCTCGAGTCTGACCCAATGCGAGCTGAGGTTTCTGGGTGCACGTTTCCAATGTTACAATCTGGGACCTTGAGGTAAACGACAGAAGGCTTCCAATAGCACCCGCAACCGAGTAAAAATACTCTAAATTTGTTCGCTAGTGGGTTGCAATTGTTATCATTCATTGTAGTTATTTAGTACATTGAAATTTGCTAACATTAGCATTCATCATCGTTAGCGTTCGCAGAGCGTGCCTGTTAAGTGAAATCTCGTTGCACAAATGTGTCATGACAATAAAGGCAATTCAATAGTTCAGTAGTCAGAGTTGTTAATTAGCAGATTATAACTATTAGCGTTCAATGCTGTTATGGTGGCTTGGAACTGGCTAAATGTAACATTCATTTGAGTTTTTGGGGCTGGGATTCATGCTAACTGGAACTTCTAACAATACAATTGAAAGCTTTATTTTGTTGAATGAGGGTTTTTTTTTTTCCTCCGCACTGACTTCTTAATTATTGACGGCGACCACCTGAAATGTTATTTTGGCTCAACTCAACCTTGGCATCTGTATCACTTTCACCATCTCATTTATTCATCTCCTCGTATATCCGCTGGCTTTTGGTCCCGCTGGTCAGGTAGCCGGCTGCTAAATAATGCAACTGCATTAAAAGAGACTGCCTGTGCAGCGAGGTGAAATCATGGCGAAACCAAAGGGAAGGTGTTCATTGTACAAAACACACAAGAGTAACTTATGTTTAATGAGTGGCCGAGGCTCCTTTTAATATTTAATAACAAGCAGAGAGCACCACCTTGTCGAAGCTATTTATAGCCTTCGGAGCAAGCCAGCAGCCAATTAAAGTCGAACACCCACGCTCCCTCGCGGCCTGAAGTGAAAGATGTCGTTTTTACACAAAAGGGCGATTCATCCATTCAAATATTTTTAATGTATTTTATGATCATTATTTTACCTACATTTATTTTTAAAACGATTCTCGTTAAAGTATGACGAGGAAAAAAAACTCAAATAGAGTAAAAGGAACAGTAAACTACACCAAATAAAAATGAAATTAAACTCAAAGTGAAACTGCTCGGCCCGGAAGTCATTCTGAACTGTTGTACAAATTAGGTGGAAAAAAAACCTAAATGAATATACAAGTAACCACTGCCAAAACTAAATATAGTAAAAAGAACTGTTAACGACAGCAACTACTTTTTATGCTTTTTTCCAATCTCGTTCTTAAAATCTAGCCAATCACACGCCCTCTCTCGTGTATGTTAACGAGGTAGGCGGAGACTTTCAAATCCCCCTTTGGCGACGTGCTCTGATTTGCGTGACGCCAGTTCGGATTTGCTGACGCGTACTTTCACCCGTACGGAGCTTGTGTGCGTCCGTGCGTGCGTGTAGCCAGATTGTGTCTCAGTCGGACACACGAGAAATGGGGGTTTGGTCAGGAAGAGACACACAGGTCCCTTGGAGAGCTTGTTCGTGCGTGTGCGCGCACTCTTGGTTTATCTTGGGAGCAGAATTGTGTGTGTGTGCGCGCGTGTGTTTGGGACACGAAGTCGGCCAAGCCGAGCGCGTGTTTTGACAATCACACCGGCTCACCAAAAGACACTCATGCATAAAAAAATGAGCGCCTCATCTCATAAACACACACGCATTTCACTGGCTAATTGCGTGTTTGTTTGCGACACTGTCTTTGCTTTCCTTTCCCGTGTCCTTCTTTCCCGCTCTCTCATTACCGAGCCTGTCCTTTCCTGTCTCTTTCATTTGCTATTTGACCTTCCTCCTTCCTTAGGTCCTTTCCTGTCACCTCCTTTACCTTTTCGTTTTTGCTTTCACTTCCTGCTTTCCTTTCTTTTCCTCCCCTTTCCTTTTATGTCTCCTCTCTTCTTGTCCTTCCTTCTTTATGTGACTTTTTCTCCTTTCTCCCGCTTTTCCTTGTTTCCTCTTGAATTCCGTATCTCCTTTTCTGTTGCTTTCTGGTGATGTGTTGGGTTTGGCGGCCGAGAGCCTGAGGAGCATAACAAGAGGACGCTGCAGGCTTGTGGGAAAGGAAAGGAAGAAGATTGTCCCCTTCTATCGATCTGGTAATCCTCTTTTTTCTGTTGCTCCACGGGAGAAATAAAAAAAAAAAAGTCATCTCAATCGGCCGCTGAACAAGAAAGACTTGGATGAAGCGGGAGGGATATCAAGGAGAAAAGGGAAACCCCGTCATCTAGTGGTTTAGAGAGGGTACTGCACTAAGGTGATGCGACAACTTGCTGATTTGAGCAGTTCGAGAATGCACCCTGCCTCTTCGCTCTCTTTCTCTCTGTGTGTCGTACGTTCTGACACCGTCCGACAAGAGCCGACCCCTCATCAGAATGATGAAAAGACGGGCGGAGCAGGGAGTGATGGATGCCCACATCACCGTGGCAACAGGGTCAAACACGTGAAGGGCAACCTCGGTTCAAAGGGTCCCCTCCGAATGTCCTGACCTGTGACCCGGCAGCTCGGCCGGACGAAGCTCCAGAGCAAGACGACCGCTTACCCACTATAATGCCAAAAGGTAAGCAGAGCTGCAGTGTGAGCGTGGATTACGTGAGCAACAGTCACTTCTAACAATAGAGTCCTGCCTTGAGATATATGAGTTGGATTTGCTGTATCTCAAATCCGCTTTCCCTTAAAAGCGTGCAGTCATGACATCGTTCATCAAAAGTAAAGAAGTACATTGACAGTGAATTCATTGTGGCTCCTCCTGTAGTTTGGGACCAGTGGGGGGCAGTAGGATGGAAGGGCAGTTTCGCTCTAAACGGAAGTGACTCAGTAATCTGCAGTCATTTTTGGCGCGGGATTAAAACGATATCCCCGTGAGTGTTGTCAGATTGTCTGTCTACATGTGTTGATGTCAAATCTCCATTTCTGAGAACTACAATTGTCCGTCCAGTTTTCTGTTGTTTTTTTTTAACTTGAAGCTAGCAAGGAAAAAAAAAGTGTGCTTCTTCAAAATCTATTTGTTGTTTGGAATGTCTTTCTCTTTTGGTTGACACTGAAGCTCAACTGAGAAAGGCATTAAACAGCTTGAAGTGTCTTTTAGGCTTCTTTTTGAAAACAAACAAACAAACAAAACAAAAAAAAAACCTTGTCGACTGAGTCATTCGGATCTCAAGGTGCCATTCGGCCACAAAAATGCATCATATCTCTCCAGTGAATCAGAGTAAGAACCAGCAGACTCCGTCTTCTTACCATCCATCCATCCATTCTTGAGCTCTTATCCGGGGTCGGGTCCTGCCGGTGGGATGTGCCTGGAACACCTCACCAGGTTAGTTAGTGGTCAGTTAGTTAGTTGGTTATTTGACTCCTCAATGCTTTGCTCACGCTTTTTGGATTGGTTGTTGGTTCAATCTCGTTGGCTTTTGGTCTGTCCACCGACAGCCAACTTTTGGGCATCGCGTCATGCAATCTGACCCGTGGTCGACTTCGATTTGAGCAATAAAGTCATTTACGAGTGTGCGTTGCCCTCGACGCATTTGGTGAGGATGTGTGCCGATGGATTGTCCGGCATTCTTGTTCTCCTTGTGGCCTTTTTTCCCCGCTTTTCTGCAAACACGTAAGCTGCCGCTACGACTTTAAGATCAGCTCAGCTGCTGTGCTCCTCCCCTCTTTTACTCTCTCTCTCTCTCTCTCTCTCTCTCTCTCTCTCTCTCTCTCTCTCTCTCTCTCTCTCTCTCTCTCTCTCTCTCTCTCTCTCTCTCTCTCTCTCTCTCTCTCTCTCTCTCTCTCTCTCTCTCTCTCTCTCTCTCTCTCTCTCTCTCTCTCTCTCTCTCTCTCTCTCTCTCTCTCTCTCTCTCTCTCTCTCTCTCTCTCTCTCAGGACACAAACCAGTTTGAGAAGGCAGAGTTAAAAGGAGGGAAAAAAAGAGAAGGCATTATTTTGTGCAGCGAGAGAAGGAAGGCGTGGACTTCCTCCAAACCCTTCCAGGAGAATTTCAGCTTGAGGGACGCGCGAGAGGTGCCGACATGGACTGGGGCACCGATTTGTGGGTGAGTTTCACACCTTTGTCAACAACAACAACTTGTCACTTTTGGGCCTGCTTTGAATGTCATGTCAAGATGTGTGTGCGTGTGTAGAATGTGGCTGAGCGTGAGAGTGTGAGAAAAAGATTTCGCAATTCCTCCTGCATACCTTCAGCTGCTCTCTCTTAAAGGTGTAGCGTAGTACGCCATTTCACCTGTTTGTTTTTCACGCGTGACAGGAAGTCCGGTCGGCTACCGCCGGACGCCCCCCCCCCTCCACTTTCACCCCAACCCGTATTGTTTTGGGGTTGTTGTTTGCTTATTGTTGTCTCTCCATGATGTCAGTTGGATCCGTGGCTGAACGGCGCTTGCTTCTTTTTCGCGCCTGCCAAGCAGACCACAATAAAATCTACCCAAAGTACGACATCGATTATTTCAAATTTGTTGGCGTAAAAAGCCAATTGGTGCCTCAGATATGAGCCAGAGTCTCCACTGATAGATTTGTGCACGGTTAGTGAGCTAGCTAGGATGACGTGCACATGTTATTTCACGAGTAAGTTAGTTGGTCGGTTGTTTGCTATGTCGTTTCTTCTTTCGTTTGTTGGTTAGTTTGTTAAATGATCAATTTCGCAGTGACTTGCTCAGGTAGCTCAATTACATTGTGTTCGACGTTCTTTTTTTTGTTGTTCTCTCGTTATTTTGTTCATTCCTCGGTTCGTTGTCGTTTGACTGGATAGCGCGAGCAGTCCATTTATTTGCCCACTCGTGCGCTAACTCCTTTGATATTTTGGTCATGATTAAGGTAGTTGTTGTTTGATAAGAGTGCCTTGGTGAAGAATATGAATGACAAGAGTGCCAAGAACAGAACCCTGTGGAACCCCAGAAGTGACTGGATCATAATGATAAGCATACTAATTGCAAATAACGGGAAGGAGAGGCCCCTGCTTTGTTCGCTCATTTCGTTTGTTTGTTACTTTGTTCATCAAGAGTGAAGTTGTCGTTTCCTGCGTCAGTTCTTCCGCCGGTTCTTTGGTTTCCCCTGACTATTTGCGTGTTTATTCGTTGGTACCCCGCGGCTTGGCATCCGACGCTTGTTGGACGGCTCTTAATCCGTCGAGTACAAAAACCACAAGAACGCGCTTGGACTTTGCTGGCGTCTCGCCGGCTGCGATTTGGAACGCGCGTCGTCAGCGGGCGTCGCGGGAGGCGGTACAAGTCGGACTGGTTCAGGCCTCGGCAGAGCTCCCGGCGACGTCAGTCCCTCATGATGACGTCAGCCAAGCCAAAATGACGACTCCTCACGGGGAGTGGCTCAACCCCACACTGACTCCCCCCCCCCCACCCCACTGCCCCCCTTTTTCCTCTCCATTGTCTCTCCCCTTCCTTCCCCTGCAGGACACTGCCCGGTTTTTGCAACACCCCTCCACCCAACGCCCTTGACATCACTTAGGTGGAGCCTTTGTCTCACTCACTGTGCGGCGATTCCAACTACGCTACGTCACTGTGTTTTTCCCGCGCTGACCGTTTCTCAGACACACACACACACACACACACACACACACACACACACACACACACACACACACACACAGTGCATTCGTGTTTTGTTTTGTTTTTTGAACACGAGAGAAGGTGTCGCTGACGTCTTAGGGTGGTGAACGATGAGCGCAGACGCAAGGGCGCACCGGCACTACATCACAAACATCAGGATACAGACGCTCGAGCCACGCGATTGAACAATATTCCTGAATATTATTAAAAAAAAAATCCTCCATGGTTCGTTTATTTTTCTCAAGATGGCTGAGAGAGGCTCCGGCGTGCCCGCGACACCCGTGAGGATGAGCACATTCGACATTATGTCTGACGTGTGTGCGTGTGTGTGTGCGTGTGTGTGTGTGTGTGTGTGTGTGTGTGTGTGTGTGTGCACGACGTGACATCAGGACCAGAACGATGTGATCGACAAGCACACTCAGGCGGGCCTGGACCTGGTGGAGCGCTACATCAAGTTTGTGAAGGAGCGCACTGAGATCGAGCAGAGCTACGCCAAGCAGCTCAGGTGCGCGCCGCCCCGCTCGGTCCCCGCGTGCGCGCCTGCGCCGTTGTGGGGGAAATAACGCCGGGTGCGTGTGTTGCAGGAGTCTGTCCAAGAAGTACGCCAAGAGAGGAAGCAGAGATGAGCAGGACTGCAGGTCGCGACGCAACTCGCAGCCAGTCGGGCCGCTCGTGCGTCTCGGCTGTCGTCGGCTCGCGCGTTTGTGCCTCGGCCTTGTTTGTTGTGTGTTGCTGTCTTCGGCTTGAGCTTGTCTTGCTTGGTTCAGCCTTTGGGTACGCGCGCGTGTGCGTGTGTGTGTGTGTGTCTATTTGCGTCAAGGTGTACTGTTTCTATGTTCGGGTTGTGTGTTCATGCTTTTGATGTGTTCCACATGAGTGTTTTTATATTCGGGTGGCGCGTTTGTGTCTTGATGTTCATGGGAGCATTTTGTGTGCGTGCGTCCAGATTCAGCAACCACGCCGCCTTGCAGGAGATCCTGAATGAGCTGAACGACTACGCGGGCCAGCGGGAGTTGATTGCCGAGACCATGATGACCAACATCTGCGTGGAGCTCGCCAAGTTCCTGCAGGACCTCAAGCAGGACCGCAAAGCGGTGACGAGCACACACACGTCGCCGCCCGCCAAGCCGCCATTGTCCCTGAACGCACCGTGTTGCCTTCACAGCACCTTTCCGACGCCAAGAAGGCCCAGCAGAACCTGGAGAGCAGCTTCAAACAGCTGGAAAGCGTACGTGGCAAAAGTTCCCAAGTCGATGCTTTGCTTTCGCGGTCGAAACCGAAATCTCGTTGCCTTCGGCGACAGACGATACGTTTGCGCATTCCGTGTTGCGCTGCTTTTGATGACCTCATCAATGACACGCGTGCGCATGTAGACCAAGAAGCGCTTTGCCAAGGAGTGGGCGGAAGCCGAAAAAGCCACGCAGCAGGCCGAGAAAACCGAGAACGACCCCAACACCACAAAGATCGACGTGGATAAAGTAAACACACACACACACACACACACACATACACATAGACACACACTTAGCTCAAGACTGAGACGAGAGCATTTGCGCTGAAAATGTTTCCCCAATAGTGTTGGGCCAATGCTGAGAGGCAAACAGTTGGAGTCACTGCCAACATCCTGACAACAAAGCCGAAGAAAAAAAAATGGCGGGAGTGCTGAAGCGCGTCTATGATGGCGCGCCGATGCTGAGAGAGCCTCATTCTCCGTCATAATATTGACGCTGTCGTCGCTTGTGTCGTTTCCCCGAAGGCCAAGCAGCACGCGCACGTCCGCACGCACGCGGCGGAGGAATGCCGCAGCGACTACGCCGCGCAGCTGCAGAAGTACAACAAGGAGCAGAATTATTTCTACTACACGGAGATACCACAGATCTTCAATGTGAGAACGTCATCGCTCGCGGACGAAACGCCAGCAACAAAAGCGGGCCCACCCTGAAGTGAAACCAATCGGCCCTATTTTCCTTCCTAATATCGTCAGTGGTTAGCGCACCGACCTCACAGTGCAGAGGTCGCGGGTTCAATCCCGGCTCCGGCCTCCTTGTGTGGAGTTTGCACATTCTCCCCGGGCCCGCGTGGGTTTTCTCCGGGTACTCGGGTTTCCTCTCACATTCCAAAAACACGCATGGCAGGCTGATGGAACACGCTAAATTGTCCCTAGGTGTGAGTGTGAGCACAAATGGTTGTTGGTCTCTGTGTGCCCTGCGATTGGCTGGCCACCGGTTCAGGGTGTGCCCCGCCTACTGCCTGAAGACAGCTTGGAGAGGCCCCGGCACCCCCCGCGAACCTTGTGAGGATGAAGCAGATGAATGAATATCGTCTTGTTAATGGTACAAAGGTGGGCGGGGGGGGGGGGACAGTATTTATTTACATTCAGATTGGTTTTGGGTGCATGTGAAGTTAAGCGTGGCCTCTGCTGGGGCTTGTTGATCTTGGGGGACGCATACATTTGGGGGGGGGGGCGGGTTGTTGAGCATTTGGCCGCGATCGGGTCATTTTCACAAAGGGGTGTACTCACTTTTGTTGCCAATATTGATGACAGATGTCAGGGGTTCGCTCCAATGACACACTGCTCATGGCAGTCGTCGAGGGACTGGCACCGGCTGACGGTGTGTGTGTGTGTGTGTGTGTGTGTGTGTGTGTGTGTGTGTGTGCGCGTGCGTGCGTAGAAGCTCCAGGACCTCGATGAGCGTCGGATTCGCCGTCTGGCGGAAGGATACTGCCAGTTCTCCGAGCTGGAGAAGAAAGTGCAGCCCATCATCTCCAGATGTCTGGAGGGAATTTCGGCGGCCGGAGCCAAAGTGGACGAAAAGCAGGCCAGTCACACGCGCCGCCGAGTAGCGCGCCACCCCAAGTGCGGACGTGTGCGATTGTTATCGTGATCGTGTGCGTCCCTTGAGTCTGCGCGGTCACCTCCCCGTTTGCGTTTGCGCGCGCAATTGTGTCAGCGCGCTTCGGGAGCGTCCGCTCGCCTTGGTGCCGCTGACGTCGCCGCCGTTGTTTTCTTTGCGTGCGCTCCGGGGAAGCAGGACTCGCTTCTGCTGGTGGAGCAGCACAAGTCGGGCTTCGAGCGTCCCGGCGACCTGGACTTTGAGGACTACACGCAGGGAATCAAAGCGGCCGGCTCCGACTCCAGCCTCAACCCGCCCAAAGTTCGAGCCAAGCTTTGGCCCTTCAGCAGGAAGCACAAGGTCAACTCACGCACGCACGCACACACAAAGAATGCCGCAGAGTGAGCGCAGCGGGAAAGCAAAGGCCAAGTGCGCATTCCTCGCTGGGCCCCCCGGGGGCCCGGCCCGTCTCACTCCTGCACTGACTTGTTTCCGCCACACACCAGCAGCTTTTTTTAAAAATGTTGTCACGTGTTGTGTTGTGTCTTGTCCAAATGAAATGAACCCCCCTCCCTCTCCCCCCACCCCCTCTCTGATTCCCCGTCCAGACGACGCATGCCGAGAAACACGTGGTAACTTGTTGTCTTTTGTCCTCACGGTGCGGGGGGCTGGCCCTTTCCGTTTCGCTTCTTGACAATGACCAATGTCGGATTCTGTGATGTCACACCCGCACGGCGGCTTTGCGAGGGGCACCCGCGGAAAAATATGGGCACGAAGACATTCTGGCAAAAAAAAAAAGTTGTTCCTGATATTTGGGGGATTTCATTCCTCAGAACAGCTCTTGGTGTGATGCTGTCAAGTATCAGCATGATGATGACAAAAGTGAATGAAATTTGGAAACAAAGCACCTTCGTGACATCACAGAAGAAAAAAAATGATTGTGGCTTTTGTTTGGAATCCTCCTGGTGGTCAGCATCGGTGTTGCCTTGACACGCATTAGTAATTAGTGTGTGTGTGTGTGTGTGCGTGTGTGTGTGTGTGTGTGTGTGTGTGTGTGTGTGTGTGTGTGTGTGCACGTGTGTGTAGCCAGCGCCGGCCGAGGACTTCTCGCACCTTCCTCCCGAGCAGAGGAAGAAGATGCTGCAAGCCAAGATTGACGACGTCTCCAATAAGCTTCACATGACCCAAGAGACCAGGTGAGGCCCGCACGCCCGCGATATCCGGCACAGCCGCCGGGGTTGCTGCTCCTGATAAAAAATAAAAAAAAAATTAAATTATAATAATTATACTGTGGGTGGACACTTATTTCAAGAAAAATGGCGGCAGAGGCTGAATGCAAATCTTATTCACCCCCCCCCAAAAAAAAAACATAATAATGCTCCATAAAAATAGAAAACAAATATTTATTTAAATGTTTTTTTTTTTCATTTAAAATATTTCTAAAATGCCACCCAAAATGTACCTTATTTTCCACTGAAAATGAGTTTCAAATCTAAAGGCAAATGTCTTTTTTGAACAATCAGCAAAATTGATCAAAGCGATTTGGATTAAAATGGAGGATTTTATGCGCATGCACATTTGGAAAATCCGTTTTGAAATTTAGTTGTATTTTGTTCATTAAAAAAAAAAAAAAATCATAATAATGATAATTAAATGACCAATATCTGAATGAAAGCTCCAGTGTAGTTTGATGCGTAATTTGCAAGTGGCCACACACGAAAAGGGCCTTTGTGACTCTCCCCCGTTGTTGTGGTCGTCGCCGCATTTTCAAAGTCAAAGCGTTTTACAAAGGCGCACGCGTGCTTGTGCGCCAGCGAGGCCCTGGAGAAGATGAAGGCCGTGTACGAGCAGAACGCCGACTTGGGCAACCCGTCCATCCTGGAGCCGCAGATGGCCGAGACGGCGCAGAACATCGGATACCTGCGCGGCGAGCTGGCCAAATACGAAGTACGAGCTACTCCGCAATCCTTCGGGCGCTCGATCAAAGCCTCTTCCTTCTCTCTTTTGATTGATTTGTTTTCATGCAGACGTGGTTGTCCGAGGCGGTGGGAGGAGACGAATGCACCAACGCCATCGTCAACAACAACAACAACAACCAGCAGCACCTCACGCAAAACATGTGAGGACCGGGCCAAAAACGCAGCTTGTTTTTATTTTGTTTTGACTTTTTTTTTTTTTTTGTTTTTCTTTTTTGGACACTTGTTGAATGCAAAAGATTGCTTGTTGTTTTCCAGCGTCCGTCGCCATCTGGCGTTTTGTCGGGGCCAGTCGCCCTTCGGGCAAATTGCTAACGGCCGCTCTTTCGTTCTGTGTCCGCAGGGCCGAGATGTCTGAGAACCATCAGAACATTTACACCGAGTTTGACGACGACTTTGAAGACTGTGGCCAATGCATGGCTTTGTACAACTTTGAAGGTTTGACAACACACGCGGGCGCGCACACACACACACACACACACACACACACGCACACACACTATTGCTTTTCCCACGCCAAAAAAAAAAAAAAATAGGAGATTAAAATCATTTCTGACAGAATAGAATCATGAAATGGTAGTTTGAGAAAAACAGAATAGCAGTATTTTGAGGAATGGTCACATTTTTTTGGGGGGGTTGAAAAAAATCATGAGAATAAGGTTGTATTTTGTGGGGGGGGGCTTGAGAAACACAAGAGCCTACGACAGCTCTGTTATTCTTTTCTCAGGAAAAAAAACAGAGAAGAAGAATAAAGTTGTTTATTTGTGATTAGAAAATGGAGTCGTCTTGTGCAAAGAACTGAATGGCGAAGGAGGTCCTATTTTTGTGAGAATAAAGTTGTGTTTTTCAAATTAAATTCGGAATATGATGAGGCTAGTTGCCCCGCCCCTCAAGAATGTTTATCTGTGAGAAGCCACCCAATCTTAGGAGAAGGACATGGCCTTTGCAGTCCTCCTGAGACTGGGAGGCTTGAAGAATGCGTTTTTCTTTTCTCTCCCCCCGCCCCACGCAGGCACAAGCGAGGGCACCATCTCGGTGACGGAGGGCGAGCTTCTGACCATCATGGAGGAGGACAAAGGCGACGGCTGGATGAGGGTCCTGCGGGCCAACGGCGACGAGGGCTTCATCCCGTCGTCCTACGTCAAGATGGCGTCCTAACGCCTCAACGTGCCGGCTGGTACTCTTTGCAACTGCTCCATGTCAAAAACATCTTTCTTTCGCAGTACGCCCTTGCCCCCAACCCCCCCCCAAAAAAAAACCCCAAAAAACAAGCTGCAGTAGCCACGCCCCTCCTTCCTGATTGGATACAATTTTGGGGGGGGCATAGAAGAAAAACAAACTGGATCCACATTAAAAAGCACAAAGGAACATGTCCCTCCACAGATGTTACCAAGGTGTTGAGCCCCCCCATGTCCCCCCCCCAAAAAAATATATATATACACTGTACTCATTTTTTTTACATGAGAGAAGTCCAAATTTTACATGAGTGATTTTTTTTAAACTAAAATTCACATTACAAAAATGTAAAGCTTTTTAAAAATCATTAAAAAAACATGCTGTTTTTTTTTTTTTAATTCGCTGTATTTTTTTTCTCTTTGAAAACTTTTTTTTTTGTGCCCTTCAGCAGCACACCCGCTTGACACTTTTGTTTGTCTTGTAAAGGCACAGTGACTTATCGTATTACTGTATTATTATGATTAGAATTTGATGAGCCCGTTGAAGGTCAAACAGTCGGTGTCGCCTTTCGGGCTTGACTCACACTGGATAGATGCCCTAAAATGTTTCAATGGATGTATCGTAAAAAAGGACATCGGAAGCATCATAAGCATTAAAAAGCAACGACCAAAGCACCAAAGTGAGTCATTGATCTGACTTTGTATTTTAGTGACGCGGGTTGCGGTGTGTTCATTGGTGCTGACTGTAAATCTCAGAATCATGCAAGACGAGTACAAAAGAAAAAGAAACATTTACTTGGCAACATTATTTACACAAGAGAAACAAAAAACAACCAGTAGCGTGACAACAGTAGCTCAGTACAACAGATGTCCGGAATCGGTGAGAAGAAAAAAAAAAAAAAAACGACCACGAGGTAATTTTGTAGGGGACAACTGCCTAGATAGGCTGCGGTTAGATGACGACGACCTGTCTGTCATGTCTCATTTGACGTTTGTACACCCGCTGAGTGGGTTGCAGTCGAATTAGACTGAGAATTCCACTCGCATGTACAGTTTAACTACGATGAACAGTTCTCCACCATTGCTCCCAGAAGCAGATTGGGCTCAAGTTTTGTCACGTCGGAATTCACATTTTCATCACAAATCTTTTTTGGGAAGAAGCCTCGATGGGCTGTGGGCCGATTAAAGCCTGACGCGTCGACTCGTTGAGATCATATCATCCAAGTTGGACAAAAAGTTTTTTGTCATGAAGTTTGTACAACTGCATAGTTGGGCTGCGGTCCAATTGACGAATGAATGGTCCATTGGTCGTAGGTCAATAATTGCAACTTTGTCAAAGGCTTCTCTTATGTGTCAGAAATCATATTTTGATCATAAAAGGAAAGGGGGGGTGGATGGGTGGCGGGGGTTGCACAACTGCCGAGACGCGCTGTGGTCCAATTAAAAACGGAATTGTGCACCGGTATTAAGTTAAGTTAAGAAAACCTTTATGAGTCTCGCAATGGAGAAATTCACAATTCACAGCAGCAAAGTTATGAAAGGAAGAAGTAGAACAACAAAATATAGGAGCTGCTGGAAAGGCAGTCACTCTCGCGGCGCCATTTTGAAGTCAAAATAACAAAAATACTCGTGGACAAAGACTTCTCCGTCCTGTTGAAATCACATTTTGATCATTGAACGCTGTTCCCACAGTCTCAGCAGAGAGGCTCAGGCAGTTCGGGTCTGATCTCGACCGGTTCCAATTTATCCGAGAGCACGCAGAGAATTTTGTCAAACTTGTCGTGGCGTTCCTTGCCGTCCGCTTCCGCTCCCGATTGGCCCCAGAAGAGTCGCAGGGCAAATTCGGTCCGGAAGGCCTCCAGCATCTCGGGGATGGGCGTCCAGTCGCCTAGAGGGGTAGCGGCTCCATTCAAAAAAAATCGAAGACGGCGATGTGCGCTGCGCACGTGCGTGTGCGCGTACTTGCGAGCAGCTCGCTGGCGCGCTGCCGGTGTTGGTGCGCGTGCGCGGCGTGTCGTCGGGCCGCCTGCAGGAGGTCGTAGAGCATCTCGCACCCTCGCAGGCTGTCCTCCACGGGGTCCTCGCCCTCCATCAGCAGCAGCACGGGAACCAGGTGCGGCACGGCCACCGGACCACCCGAAACGCACTCTGCACACACAAAACGACAAGACACGCTTGAAAACACACCCCTTGGGCAAAATGCCGCATGTCATTGATTCATTGATGTATTGTAAATAAGCCCCCCGCCCCCTGATAAAATTTTCCAAATCTTACACTGACGGTATTGGGCTAATACCGGTCCAGTTTCAAGGTTTTAGGTGCTCAACCACTGATCGTGAAGGCAAATCCAATCTGACATTTGCGCAAGTCCTCCTTGCCAGTAGTTGGCGCTTAACGACGGCCGCTGTCAAAATTTGTCATCATTTCGATGATTTGATGTATCAAAGGTCGGAGTGGCATCGCTGAAGAGAGAATCCTCAGACCGGTATGGGTCCGCAATAAAGTGGTCCCGAAAACCCGTCCATCCCTCCTGGGGACCTCGTCTTTACGCGGCGGGTGGCCTTACCGTCGCTATCGTTGAGCGCTTTCATGAAGGGCTTGAGGGTCTTCTCGAACAGGACGGCGCTCTCCGTGTGGTTCCTCCGCAGCGAGCGCCACGTCATCTCCAGCCGCACCACCTGCACCCAAGCGCGCGCCATCAGGCGTCGGCTCTTCGGAACCCACGGGCTTTGGCCCCTTCGCTGCAAAACGAGGCGCCGGCGAGCGCGCGGCCCACCTGAGGCATGTCCAGCGCCTTCATGACGGCCGAGAAGGCGTAGAGGTCACGGGCGTGGTCCTTGAGGGCCTGCGCCACGAGGATGAACTTGTGCAGCACGGCGGCCCGCTGGCTCACCGTACCCGTGCAGCCCAGGATGTCCACGGCAACGCCCAACGCAATCAGATGGTGCCTGCGGGGGTGGGGGGGACGGCGGCGCTCAACGATCACAAAGTCAACGGGCGGCGGTCGCCTTCATCGCGCGACGCCCGCTTGCGGGAGCCGGCTCGCCCATTGGGTGACGTGGGCAAATGGTAAGAGGGCGGCGGCCGACAGGGGGCGCTCTAAAACGTCTTTGGGAGCATTGAGGGCACAGTATGGATAGTTGAGGCGCGGGCTGGGTACCTCTCGAGCAGGTCTCGCCGCAACTGTCGGCCGTGCGGCAGCGTGATGAGCTCCAGGCCGGAGGCCACGCCCATCGCCCGCCTCTGCTCGGCCGTCACGCCCACGATGCGTGCCACCTGGCAGTCCACGCTGAGCATGTGCAGGGCCGTGGTGTTGGGGTCCGAGCGGTTGAAGAGCTCCTTCAGCGCAAGCAGCACGCCGGGCTCCAGCGGACGGTTGTTGTCCGGCAACAACAGCGACTTGAAGCGGTCCAGCTGGAAGCAGGAGCTCCATTCCGTCTGCGATGGGGGCGGGGCAAGGGGAGACGTTATCGAAAGATACCGCCTCAAAAGGAGAAGTTGCGCGGGGACGCAGCACGCGGGTCCAGATGGAATCTGGAACATTTCAATGCGACTCTGGTACAAGGGCGTTGGTGTCGTGCGGAGAACCTGCGGGCGTTCAAATTGTTCCTTGTCGGGCAGTCGCGGCAGACGGGACGCCGCCTCGCCGCCGTTGTCGTCCTCCAGGAAGCCGAAGGAGGTCTCGGTGATCCGCGCCCGGCTCTGCCACTTTTCCTCCGCTCGAAGTCGATCGACGTGACCTTTGCGCCGGGACTGCGGCACCTGAAGGCAACAAGAGCGACCATTTCGCACTGTCGCTGTGAGTATTTTGATTGATTTTTTTAATCAACTGCAGTAACATGGAATACTTTGGGGAGTCAGTCCAGTATTTTTCTCCTTTTTGCGTGAAAGGGACTGACATTGAAAGGGCTGGATTTACAGAATGGGAGGGGGGGAGTGAATTGATTGATGGCATTTCCATTCACTTGAGTGGTGAAAGATGATTTGAGATATGAATGATTCATAAATCAAGGCACCACTGGATTTGTATACGTCACCAATAATTCTCTGACAGATTTTGTCCTTCTTCAGATTGTCAAAAATTGCCCACTTTTTTTTTTTCTCAACATATATCACAACTAAAGAATTTTTTCTGATGGCTCCCTCTGTTACAAAGTTAAATAGTAAAGGACAAAGTACTGTACAGCAGCCCGAAATTAATATCTTTGTTGGAGTAAGCGTTAAAGCCACCAAATAAATCAATTATTTTCTTCATGATTATTTTTAAATGAATCGGCCTATTAATCGGTTCTCGGAATTTTATTCTGCCAAATATCGGAATTCACGGTCGGGTCCTAGTTTCCGCGTGACGGTGTCCGACCTGAACGACCAATTCGTCGTAGAAAGCGGACGGGTCATCGTCCCGATCCGAGGGCGCGGCGGGTCCGGGGGCTTTGGGGAACACGGCGGAGATCCTGAGGGGCTTGGGGGGCGCCCGGGAGTGCAGCTGTCTGTCGGACCCCCGCAGCGTCACGCCACCACCTAAGCCGACGGGACAAAACATTTTCAGGCACACCGTCAGATGCAAAGATTCTTGCGCTTTTGATCGAGTTTGCGTGCGCGCACGTTACCGGGGTGACAGGGATGCATTCGGCGCGGCTTCGGGCTGAGAAGGGGCTCGCTCCCTGTGCGGAACACCGGCGAGATGGGAGGCGGGCCCATGTCGTCTGATTTGGAGTTTTGAGGAGCGCCTGCATGGGGGAGAGTACGAAGAGTGATGCGCCGCTGAGGGTGTGGACAAAAGTATTGAGACAGAGCTCATAATTTGCCTTTTCCGCCTGTTTTTTTTAGAGCCACGTACCCCTTGGCAACATCTCCACAGTGATGGTGCACAGTTTGAATCGTTTGAAAGCATTTACAGTGTTCGCATCAACTGTAAATAATTTTGTTTTCCGTTTGACGTGTTTCTTCAAAAAAAACTCATTAGCTCTGCTTTTATGTCAGAAACCTGTGTTTTTGGTGGAACCAACCCATATTCTAGTGCTGATTACTGAACTCCGGGAAAACGATTTGTCTACACTTCTTTTTGGTAGATTGTGTGTTTATATTGTCGCAGAGCACAACATTTGGTCAATTATCATTTAAACAACAACCACAAGCTTGATAAATGTAGCCGGATTGCATTTGAAATGTTTCAAATAGTTCATTTTTAAAATAATGGGATGTGATGCCGTAATAGAATCTTGACTGACTTCATTCGACGAGTTTACTTGTACTGTGGGTGTCCCAATACTTTTTGCCCATCCTGTACATGTGCGGTTAAATGACGGGCGTACCGGGCCTCAGGTTGCTGTCCGACTGGGCCGACTGGAGCGAAGGCCTGCAGCCGAGGTTCTCCAGATTGCCGGGGTGACTCCCGCTCCTGCCGCACGGGAAGTTGAACAGTTTAACGGCCGGCGACGGTGGACGCGCCGCCCCCCCCCCCCCACCCTCGCCCGTCCACCTGGGCAGAGTGTTGATGTTCAGGGCGTCTCCCAGGGTGCTGCTGAAGCTGAGCCGCTTGCCGCGTTCGTGTTGGGACTTCCCGTCGGCGGATCTCCCGACGGCGCCCTTACAGTCGGCGCGCTGTCGCTCGGCAATGACCCGCAAAGGGAGCGTCCTGGTCAGCGGGTGGAAGACGATGGCGCCCGAGGCCTGCGAGATGGGCCGCCGCCCGCCCACGTAGAAACGGATCAGAGCTGGAACGTTGTCGAAGCGGTCCTCCTCAAATTGAAACAGCTCCCGGGAGTAGCCCTGTCTCACCAAGCAAACACCCACGGTGGCCACGCGTCAGACTGGCAACCTCACAGCTGAGTCGCTAACATGCCCGAAAATGGGCAAAATGTCGAGCGCGGTTTTCCCACGTGAAAGAAGATGTCTTGTTTCGATGAAATGGAAAGCGAGCGGTCTGCTTTTGCGGAGGACTGAAGCAGTTTTTGACCGCTGAGAGCCTCTCGACGTGGCCAGCGGCATTTCTGGGAAGCGGCCTCCCGTTCTTTTGGGACCACGTGGACGATCAGAACTATGAGGGGATATTCTTTTCAAAAAGAAACCTCATTCTGTCAACTTGTTTTTGGACAGTGACACACCGGGGCAGAGAGACCAGAACACTGCACATTCGCCTGAGTCCCCTCGACTATGTCATTCAAACTAATGTTTTAAGTATGTATATCGTGTTTCTCCTTTGCCCGTTTCGATGAAAAGCTAAAGGGCGCGAATGCATAGTGTCGAGGACGATGGGTTTATTTGCCACATTTTCTGCATTATGGGGGCTTTTTTGTTGACTTCCTGTTCGGTGGACGTCTTACTTTGAAGGAATACGTAAGTGGACGACGGCTGATGAGACGGCGAATTGATCGCGCCGAACAAGATGATCGCGAAGAGGTGAAACTGATTCACAGACGACAAAATTAACAGTTTAAAGATACGTTGCCCGGTTGAAAGTGTCAAAAGGGTGAATATTTGTGTCGATCTGTCTATCGATTCGTGTTTGTGATGAGAATATGTGCTGAACCAATCGCACTTTACATGTCTGGAAATCGGCGTGACGAGTACAGAAAACGCCGTGGCACCTTTTTGGGTCTCAGCACCACTCGTATGATCTTAAAGTGCATGGGCTCGTTCCTCCAGTAGCAGCTGAGGACGTAGTCGCCCGCGGACGAGCTGGAGTCTCGGACCAGGAAGTCCCCGTCCCTCTCGAAGAGAGCTTCTGCAGCCTGGAGGACACGGCGTCGGTCGCATGGCACGTTTGCATTTTCGGTCATATTTGCATGAATTCCCTGTCATTTGTGACACCTCTCTGGTGAGGGGCCCGTGGTACCAGGCGTGGCTCCTGGGGTCCTCGGTGCTGAGCTTCAGCTCTTCCTCCAGCTCCTTCTTCAGGGAGTCCATCTCCTTGCGACCTCCAAACACCTGCGCGGCACATCGCTAGGCGTCAACTGTACGGCAAAATGTCACCGGGCGTCCGGTTCACGGCAGGTCACCCGAGTGTCAAATGTGAGACGCGTCGTTGCCGCAGCACATGAGCATGCAGTGAGTGTCACCATGTGGCAAATATCCATCACGCGCGGCTGTGCGTTTACCTGGCTCAAGTATGCGGCGACGCTCCTCCTTTTGCTGGAACACACAGATTGAGCAAGTCGTCGTGACCAACGTTCGGATGTATTCTCATTTGTAAAAGTGTCTATTTTTCAGAAATGAGCCATTTTTGTTTCATAACTCACTCTCGAGCGTACGCGGCGATCAAAACACAACAATCTCGTACTTTTTTAAAACTACCGGCTCGTAGCGGTGCATGTGTGGCACTCCCATATTTTTCCTTCCGATATCTGCCGGACAATGTGGAGCGCCGGCCGCGACCGAAACGCCAGTTTTCCAGAGACAAGCGGACTGTGAATAGTCTCCCCTTTTCCCGTCCGTCCTTCCTTCCTCCCGTCGCCACCTCGCGCGACAAGGGAAGGCTCCAGGGCCGAGCTCAGTGCCAGAACAACCTTGGATTCGCCGGGTTTTGCGGTATCCGCTCCCATGACAGCACAACGCGTCATTCCGCCATCCCCTTTGGAAAACCGTGATTGAAAGGGAGCCATTGATGACATTTTAAGGACTTTATTTGGACTTTTGACATGGACAACAATGTCGTAGCTGTTCCCCGTTTCCAGCTCCGATTTGGAGCTGATCCTAACAGGAAACACTGTTGAGAATCAATAGCGCGTTAACGGAACACAGCCACTGAATGAAAATAATGCAGCTATTTTAGGGATATCAAGTAAGTAAACAAATGTTATTTCCAGGAAACTGTTCTAGTGCCAGGAAGAAAAAAAACATACCTAATTGTGGCACAGAGTCCGAATCCTCGGGGTAATCTGAGCAAAATCGTGATGTCCTCACATAAAAATTTATTTTACCAGGCAGATGCTAGAACAGCAAGTAGCCGAAAATGATCAAAGAAGAACAGATCTGTATTTTTGCTTCGACAAGACTTGTCATGCTTCCAGGCACAAGCAACCTTAACCTACGTCACGAGTTGCAAATCTGCTGTCATTAAAGTGAAATCAAAAGAATGAGATGAAGAGCTGTGGCCTAGCCGATTTTTTTTCTGAAGATAGGAGCGTACATTTGAGATGTCAATGAATTGATCCGTTCTTAGACCTCTACGAGCAACCTTGACCTAGGCTACTGCTTTCAAAACTGCTGTTATTAAAATTTAAAAAGGGCAAAAGCCATTAAAAAAAGTGAACAGTATCGCCACACCTCATAGAGTGAGTGGTTTTACTTTATTTTAGTTGTAAAGTACAATAACTTGGTGCAGGGCCCGGGGCTCAAGATAACCTGACCAATGTTACTTTTGTCAATAAAAGTTCCACAGAACATCAGAAGTAAACGAGCAAGTCAGGTCAAAATCGTCACATCCTGTTTGAGGGGCGTTGGTCAAGCACACCTGAAACACCTGATCACACGCGTGCTGGGTGAAAGTCTGCCTAGCAACAAATACCTGGTTGGCCCGTAATAAATGCCACGCGAATGTCACGGAACTTTGTTGCGTTTCTAATCCAAATCGCGCAACAGTTTTGGCGTGAAAAAGGTGAGACAGGAGAGCCCACGATGGGGCGCGGTACTTCCTGGTTGATTTTTTTTTTTAAGTAAATACCGAATAATTACAAAAACTTGACATGACTAAACTCACACGATGTCAGTGCGTTAAATAATATTTCCGCAGAAAAGATGCTCTCTCGCACAAACTTGTTTAACGTCTCGCGCGAACTCACGAGTTTTGTCCCGCAACAACTCCACCAGGGAGCAATGGTGGCCTTTCCCCCTACCTGTCGGTGGCGTTCACAGCTCGCTCGTCTCTCACATGCTGACGCTCCGCGGTCCGAAAGGAACTCCGAGAGGGAAACAAGCCGACGAACCTTCGACCCGAACGCTCCCAGCTCGCCGCCCCCCTCCTCCCTCAGTTCATTTCCCGCCCGCCTCCCTCCCTTCTGCGCCATCGTGTTCCCACAAGCCTTCCCGGGCACTCCCCCAACTCCGCCCCGGGCCGCAGAGAGCAAACGCCGCCGCTATCTGAACACATTCCTCGGATACCGATACGAGTCGTGCTGCCTCTTCACCTGTCATCAAGTAGGCCGCCGCAGAGTGTCATTCGCACATTTCATACTTTATCAGGACGGACTTTTACATGACCGCAATACAGTAATCCCTCGTTTGTCGCGGTAAATGGAGACCGAAATCACCCGCGACAAACGAAAATCCGCAAGTAGCGACCCCCTCCCCAATAGGTACATGTGTATGAGTCTAAAAAATATTTATGAGGCCAAATTTAATGGTATACATGCACGTAGAAGTCAATTTTGTAGTAATTAACATTACTTAATGCTGTAAACTAATAGATTTAAACATGTATACGTTTGGTTAGGTTAGTGTATGAATAACAAAATGCAGTAAACATATTCATGTAGTACTTTATATGTTGCTCTATGTGACTCGCTGTTGTTTTGCTGACTTTCGCTGCTTCTCGCGGACTTTTTGCGGACTAATTTTACTTTTTTTTTTTTTTTTTTGTTGAATATGTTTGAAAAAATTTGCGATGCACCGAAGTCGCGATAAACGAACCGCGAAATAGCGAGGGATCACTGTATTTTTAGATCTTTCGTTCAGAGGTCACCAAGGTGGTGCCCGCGGGCATCAGGTAGACCCCAAGCGCCACATGAATTTGGTAGAATTATTTTTTGTTTGTTTGTTTGTTTTGGGGTGGGGGGGGGGGGGCAGCAAGACCGACGTCAAGGGAGAAAGCTGAAATAAAGGAACAAAACGGCAGTTAAATGTCCTCCATATGTTCAGAATTAAGGACGTTTTGACATTTTCAAGGCGTCAACAAGCGTGCAAAAATGTCACCTTGTGTGTCATTCACAAGAATGGGATGGTCTGCGGTCTCATCTGAAGAAAAATAATGAAGCTGAGATCTTGAGACCTCTCCTTAATAGTGGACTGACTTAATTGTAGAAATGAAACAACACAGGATTTCACGCTACCGAGCCACCACAATTGTTGTCAATGAAGTAATGCCATTCATTCGTTTTTAATGAACTATGCGCACTTAAGTTGACACACACCATCGTTGGCGAGTGTGTGGCGGTCCGCTGTAGCCTCAGAAGTACATCTCTATTCTCATGAGATTACATTTTTTTTTCTTTTAACAAATTAATTTTTACCTTTTGAGCAATATTAAGTATTCCTGTAGCGGTCCCAACATTTTATTTCGACAAATAACATTCTCACTCCGTGACTTTATTCTGGTGATATTATGAGAAATATTCATGGACTCAAAAAAACAGTCGGCCTGCGAGGTCTGCTGACTCGGGTCGATGAGTAGAGCCCAGAGTTCAGAGCAAACACGGTGAAGCAGCATTCAGCTGTTATGCTGCTGTGATAGATTTTTCTTTTCTTCTCAGTCAATCTCATGATCTAGGATCTATCCTCCCAATTGTGGGATTTCACATTTGCGACCGTATCCCAGCTCACTCGGGCTCTTCTCTTATTCGGCAGGACGTTTTTTTCGAAAGCATCCGCCTTGCGTTTACCTGCGCTTGCTCTCCCGACAGCCGTCCAACGTGCCATAAGCGGGGTCCTCGTCCAGGGGCCGCAGCTGCGAGCAGGAAGCGGAGAGGCGGTCCTTTTTGTCAGCGCGGTGGAGGCGGGGCAGGACACTCTGGCGGAACAGATCCTTGCTCGGCTTCACCTGCGAGAAGCGGTAATCGTCCTTTTTTTTGTTGTTGTTGTTTGCTTGTGCGTGCGTGTTTGCACGACTTCGGTCACTGTGGTTGCACCGGCGTGTGTCTGTGGTCTCACCAAATCCAAGGACGAGCCCAGCGAGTGCTTTCTGCTCACCCGGCGTTCCATTTGCACACCTGAGAGGATTTGGGGAATGTGAACGTTTGCTGTCAAGTCAAGAAGCGTTTACGTCGCGTTTACAAGCCCAAAACTGCTGTGCAGAAAAAGTCGGGCTCCATCCGTTCATATCCCATTTTCTACCGTTTAAGAAGGCCCCATTCTCTAAGATTGAGACTGTTGATCGAGGAAAAAAAAAAATATCCCACTTTTTTCATAATGCTAGCACGTTAAAAAAAAAAAAAACACAAGTCGTTCTGGCTTGGGAGTTCTTGATCCTTTGGACTCAAGCATTGCGCATATTTGCAATTGCGAAAATGGTGAGCGCTTTACCCAAGTGAGGCTCCAGCTTCTGGCGGTGTCTCCAAAGCTGAGTCAGGATGGTTTCTCTGTGCGAGGCGTCCTCGATCCCCGCCTCCTTCAGCTCGTGCTCGTTCACGTTCAGCAGACCCTGAAATCACATGGAGGGGACTTGAGCCTCCATCGGGGGACTTTTTCACCCCACCAAAATTTAAAAAATAAAAATAATTCTCATCATAATCCAACTTTTTATTACCCACAAAATAAACTTAATTATTGTAATCTACTCACTTTTTTGGGGGGTGAGGGAGCTAAAATGTTCCAAAAATCTGACTTTTTATCCTGGAAAATTGTCTTATAATGGGAAAAAAAGCCACGACTCGTGAGAGATTTCCACTTTTTATCTAGAAAAATCTCACCTTTTCTCAGCTGTTTGTATGATATATGGATGACCCCCCCCCACAAAAACAACTTTTTATCCAAGAGACACAACTTTTTTTCATGTAATACTGTAGTATGATTTTTTTTTAAATGTAAAAAAAAAAAAATCCAACCTCACATAAAAAAATTTTATTCAATATTCAGACTTTTTTTTCACTCAAAAATACAAAAACGACTTTTTCTCTTGGGTTGGTTTTAATCTGGAGGGGTAATACAACAATTTTTTATCAGTAGCGTATGAGCTTTTTACTCTCTTTGCACATGTTTGATAGATGATTTGACAGGTTTGATGGTGAATGAATCATATCAAAAAAAAACAGGAGACAATTTCAAATTGAGAGTCTGGAAAATGAACAAGATTTGCAAATTGTTGTCTTCTCTTTTGATTTATGTTCAACACAAGGCCCCGACTTCTTTGGAATTAGGATTAGTGCGATGGCTTGTGACATTTAATGTTTGTTTTTTAAAATCAATAAAATTAAAATTAAAAAAAAATAAAAACAGATCCAGGCCTCTCATGGCGTCCGGGCCAGACTTGCATCTCCGGTTTAAGCCGTACAAAACCGATATGAATGTCGTTTTGACGTACCTCCAGCCCGTAATATTCGCTCTCCAGGGTCTTTGTGTACTGGGGCAAGCCGATCTGCTGCAGCCACCAGGCGATGGAGCGATTATTCATGTCTGACTCGCACAGACGCAGACCATCAGGAGCAGAACGCGGCGACCGACGTGACCACTCGGGAGTTCCGGCGAGCGTCGCGTCGAGCCGTCGGCGCCGCGTGGCGAGGATTTCCGGGAGCGCTTGCCTGCGATTCTTTTACTTTCTCTCGCTGTTCGCCGTGTCGACCTTGTCATCAACTGTCCGTCTCTCAACTTCTCCCCGCTGGCAGGGGAAGCCAATGGCGCGGCACCGCCGGCCAATGGGAGCGCGGGGACGGCAAGCGGGTCCGGGCGGATCCCGGCATGTCGAAGACGAGGCCCGTGTGTAGAAATGCAGCTGTGCAACGTGTCGCAGGTGAGACGCGGGCGAGGGTGTGAGCCAAAAAAAATCATTCTAATCTTCTCGGTGCTGTGTTGATATTCATTCCATCATCGACAAAGTAAATCATGGCACTCATTCAAAATGGAAACCAGTGTTGAGTGCCTTCTGTCTGCCAGGGCCAAAGAAGACATTTCGGTGAGATGGAGCATCCGCCCCTCCCTCCGCTGTCACGGCGGCGCCCGCTCCGTCCTCATCCTCCACCAACAAGGAAGAAGTCGTCTGCTCAGGTGACAAACGAACCGAAGCGGCGGGCATTTTGGCCTCTGGCAGCAACACTTACTCATTCTTGCCACCAGGTGGCAGTATTGATCGCACTCTCATAAAATGCGACTTCATTCTGGTGGGATTACAACTTTGGGGGTTTTCACCCCCAAAACTAGCATTCCCAAAACAATTTTTCGAGAGAAAAAAAAATTCACATTTGATGGATGGACGATTAAAATCACTGTTGACCTACTTTAAACGCAACTTTTTTTTTTCTTCTGACTCAACACTGTCATCTACTGCCGCCTGTTCATGATTACAGTTATGCCAAAGTTTGACGAGCACTGACAAGCTGGCCACTCCTACCCATGAAAAACCATATTTGAGGTATTTTTAGTCTCAAGCATTTCATTGTCCCCAAAGCGAAGATAACTCGGATTTATTGGCTTTCTCGTGAAACCGCAAACGAATTTTCAGCTTGACTGATGCCACGCTTGTAACGATCAAATGCCTTGGTAACCTTGTGCGGTTCTGTCCAGTTCCTGTGCCTGAAGAACATCCGGACCTTCCTGGGCGTGTGTCAAAGCAAGTTCCAGCTGAAGAAGAGCGAGCTGTTTGATGCCTTCGACCTGTTCGACGTGCGCGACTTTGCCAAGGTGTGTAGGCCAGCGCTCGCCAAGTCCGGACCAATCACCAGACTTGGCCTCGCCAAATCCAGTTCCGGCCCGCGGGCCGTATGTTTGACACCCCTGCTTTATGGGTTGGAATACGCATAACCATCACTGATACATTTGGATGAATATGATATGTGATGATTTTTCAATCGTAATTGTCAGTACAGTGTGGCCTCATTGTTGCCGTCGGATCCCTTTCGCTAGCCTGAGAAAACTTGAAGCTTTCTTCGGCTTTCTCATCACTGTCATGGCTTTAACTTTTGTTGATGAGGTAACATTTCTCCTTTTTCTCCTCCCCCTTTTATTCAACGGAGGCCGCCAATGACATATTTGACAATTTGCTTTTTTCCCCCCTCTGTAGTATGTGCTTGTGAAACCAAACCAGGGGGAAGTGCTGAAGGGCGTGTTTGTGCCGTACTGTGCCGGGTGCGGGCCCACGCAACCGCAGCAAGCCATTGGCATCGTAGGCGCTGTCATCATGCCGCACAACATCCGCCTTCACTCGGCGTTAGTCAAAGTGAGAATTGTTTTGTCAAGGCGACCGCGATTCATCTTGCCTTCGATTTTTATGACACACATTCCGGCAACTGATTTTGCTTCTCTGTCAGATCTGATTCTCGAGAAAAGGAAAAGGAACAGTAGAGAAGCGAGACTTGAGTTACATTCCCCCAGACATTGTTCCAGGTGGCAGTCAGATTTATGAGCTGGGCTATGGGGGATGATGTAACAATCACAATTTTTTTTTTAGGTAGCCTGGTGGTCCAGTGGTTAGCACGTCGACCTCCCAGTGCAGAGGTGCAGGGTTCGATTCCGGCTCTGGCCTCCCTGTGTGGCAGTGGCGGTTCTAGATCAGTTTCACTGAGGGGGCCGGGCTGGGGCCAGGGGTTTTGATGGAGGGGCACATTAAACCCAGGGCTAAAAATACAGATTCGAAATCTTATTTGACTTTTTATTTCATCAAACCTTGAAAGCATTGTAGTTATAACATTACAGTGATGAGAAAAAAACAGTATTAGGAGGGCTAACATATCTGTAAGCTTAACAATATGCCGAGTCCATCTGTTGAGAATATTCAAGCCCGGGGTGGATATGGTACCAGCCTGCCTTGAAGCTCCTTCTCCTGTCCCCCATCAGGGTCCTGGGAAACTGTTTTAGGTCTGGCTGCATTGGCGGGTCCTCTTGACTCTCTTGACTGAACATTCGGCAAGCCTCCTCGCTTTAAAACCCGCCTCAAAACTCACTTGTATTCTTTGGCATTTGACTCAGCATGACTTAGATTTGTTCATGGTTTTGCTGTTCGGTGCTTTCTACCGTCTTTGTTACCGATTTGCTTTACTGTTTGTTGTATTTGTTAATTGCTCCATGTACAGCACTTTGTGTGCAGCGATGGCTGTTTGAAAGTGCTCTAGAAATACAGTTGAGTTGAGTCGAGTCGAGTTTACATCTACTGATGTCTGTGGACAAAGACAAAGACAAACCAAATAAATGTAAATGCAAGTTCTGCATGGACACAGCATATACACTAACCCTCTACACTTAAATTGCTGAGGCACTCAGACATACGCAAGTGTCTAAAATGTATTGATTGATGCTATTTATGAATTGTATTCATTATTTTTTTTATTGTACTCAATAAATATAAATTAATACATTCTCAAGCCTGACCAGGGACTAAAATTGCAAATACACTGAAGCTAAATGTTTTACATGCATGTAGTTATCCAAATTTTAAAAGGCAATGTCTTATTGTCTTATCTCTCATATTGTTCCTGTTGAATAAAAATTAAAATAGAAAGGGATACTAAAAAAGTTACACACGCGCACACAACCATCCGCGCTCACACTCACACCTCGGGACAATTTGGAGTGTTCAATCAGCCTGCCATGCGTGTTTTTGGAATGTGGGAGGAAACCGGAGTACCCGGAGAAAAGTCACGGAGGCACGTGGCGCACCCCTGGAGCACTGATTCTGCTCCCCCGCCCCCCTGTGGCCGCCCCTCCGAACGTAGATTACGCAGTAGCGCCGAGTTGCCGGCGCGAAAGGTGGAAACAAAGTGCATGGCTTAACATTCTAGTCGGACCCTTTAGTTGGCTGCACCACTTAAAAATGAGCGGGAAAATGAGAAGCAGTCCGCAGAGAAGTAGATTACCACGACACGAGTGCTATTTTCGACACGACACGATTTATATTTTCAATGTAAAATCACCAAACGAAACAAGCCCCCAACAGTAGCATTATTAAGTCTAATTCCTCTTCACTTAAACATTTAATGTTAAAAATGAAAAGAAAAACGGACATTACATCATATTTCTATATGAAAAAGAAACACATTGATCCAGACACAGAGAGAGAGTCAGATGATGATAGTGGTGAGAGATTTGAAGAGGAGCAAGTTGAAAGCACCAGAGAGGGAGAGTCAGAGGACACGGGATTCATTTATTTTCAGAGCGAGGACTCAGAGCAGGAAAGGGATACAAATGAAGATCCTGAGAATTAGGAAGATGAGACTGCAATAGAAGTGGAGTGTGAGACACAGACAGAGGA